AACCATATGCTTCAAGAGTTGTAGCAAGACTATGTGGAGCGTGACGGAGCCCATATAGGGAATGATATGATGCAGACTACAAATAAGAATAGATGTAGTGGTATAATATATATCCCGAAGGAAGGTACTTTCCAACTTCTTCCTTACCATGAAGAAATACATTGTCAACATCATTTTATGGAGTTCCCAAAATCAAAAATAGCAATAATAGTATGGGCAATCTTAGTAACATGGGCAAACATCTAATGGTAGTCATTGTTGGGTGAATTTGGGAAAAACAAAGAAATTAATAATTAAAATCTATAATAGCCTGCTGGTGACGGTTGTACTGCACGCAGCAGCCTACTGGTTCCGGAGCAGCTGCTGTAACAGTTCACCAGCAGCTTGTTGGTGATCGTTTTACAGCAAGTCGCAGCAGCGGGATGATTCTGGAGCAAAAATTAGGAAAGTTACGGGAAGAAACAAAAATCAAATCTTATCTTTGTCAGATGAATTTTCGGACAACATTCGTGTTCACAAGACGCCTGTGCACGCAAGTCGCAATTTTTCTTCTTCGTTTTCGAGTTTGATCAACACCCCGTGTGCACAAAGAGAGTCTTTCCACCTAGGAATCTTAACTCCTTCAAAGAGAGAAACCTTTATAAATGGGTGAAAATTCCTTGGGTTTTCCGATGTGGGATAAATCATATTACAAATCCATCATTTTCCTAGTTTTCTCCATTTCAACGATTGAACTTGGAGAATCAATTTCTTATTCACCCGTTATCCGTTTTGAGTGTACTATATATCGAATCGAAGCCATTAACAAGAGGAATCTGAAACCACTTTGATACGACCCAAATCGAAAGTGAACCCCACTCAAAATACTGCCCAAAAATGACTAATTGATGCAATTTTTAACACATTTTCCCAACAATTAACTTCCACTAGATGATTCCCACATACAATAAGTCGTGGAGCTTTAATCATTCAATAGAACCGTCACTTAATATTTGATTTTATAGACCAATTCACACTGAATAGTGTGCTTATGTGGAGGTAGCGGGAATTAAATCCAGCTGGTCCCATTGCGTACGAGCGCATCAATTTTCTTTTTTCATAGGGGAACGCCATCGTGGATCTTGAATAACTTTCTTAAAAGATATAGGTTCTGATTCAGCAGAAATGGCAACAAAGAAAGCCCATTATTGTAATGAAAAACTGTCATAATTTACATAAAAAAGAAGTGCATAAGGTTCACCTCAAGAAGTTTAATACTGGGAACAGGGTGCGATTTATAAGATATCCCGTCTCCTAAAACTTGACACATTTTGGTTGGAAAAGGAAGAATTCTGTTGGACTGAAAACTGATTATTTTCAGAAAATTGTACGCCTTTGAGCTAACGTTTTAGTGGTATAAAAACGAGCTCAAATGGATAATCATACTACGAGATGTGAATATGTGATAAGCTTTCTAGTACATGTCATATGTCATATTTGATATATAAAAGATACATTTGTTAGGATTAAAAATTTGGCGTGATTATGGAATATGTAACCAACCATTCAGGTTAGTTTACTAGTAATATAAAAACGAGTTCAAATAAATAAGCCAACATTGGGATATGGTCGAATTATTTCTATTCCATGTCACATTGATTGAACAAATTTTAATTAATGACATACTTTGATCGAAAACGGTGACAACTGACAAGTGAACTAACCGGACTAGAAACTAGTTCAAGTGCTCAACGGGAAATTTGTTGATTCAGTCCCATAACTTATAATTATATCCGATATTGGTCCTATAACTTTATTAACTTGCAATTTACATCCCGTAACTAATAAGTTGGTGCAATTTTGGTCCTTCTATGTCGCAACTTGTCAATTTCGTCGGAAAAAGACACATCACCTACCACATGGTATATTATTTGGAACTCATTTGCTGACTCAATATTGGCCCTTAGTTGGAGTTAAAAAACCAGAGTACGAAAGCTCTTCGCTAAGTGCGTGCACAACCATACCAAGCCTATTATCGGATCTGCAAAAGGGGGGAAGAACATATAACTGTACCTGAAGATTTCTCCTGAACTAAGTCGAGAGAGTGAGTTATTCTTCAAATCTGCTAGTAACGGCTCTCGATCAGACAAAAGTTTATGGAGTGTGATTGTGGTAAAAAGATTTCTCTTCTAACTTCTTGGACTGATAACAATCCTGGAAGGAGGTTTCGTGTGTGCGCTAGAAGCAGAGTAAGAAGTTCAGCTTTTGGGTAGGGAAAACTGTCAAATAGGTCCTCGAACTTTCATAAAAAAGTCAATTAAGTCCTTTTATAGGAGACTCTGTCCGGTCGTCGCGATTTGGGGCGGTTCCCGGTGGAATTTTTTGATGAAATTTTTTGTGCATCTTATTTATCAAGTCTAGTTTACTCATACCAAATTTTAGCTAAAAAGTTAATCGGGAGCGCATTCAAATTAATTTGACAACGCAAAAATGCACAATTATCTTCAAGAATTAATTTGAATGTGTTCTCGATTGAATTTTTAGCTGAAATTTGGTATGAGTAAACTAGACTTGGTGAATAAGATGCTCAAAAAATTTTATCAAAAAATTCCACCGGGAACTGTCCCAAATCGTGACGGCCGGACAGAACCTCCTATAGAAGGACTTAATTGACCTTTTTATGAAAGTTCGAGGACCTATTTGACAGTTTTCCCTTCAGCTTTTTAATTTACATTGTTCGCTTCTTGTTTTACTAAATAAACTAGAAATTTAAGAATAGCATTTGAATAATAAATTTGTTTGAAAATTAAAATGTATTTTATATTTTAAGCTAGGTCTTGCTAATAAAATTACCATCTTCTATTTGTTGGGGGCATTTGATAATGTATTTTTGTGTTCAAAGCAGTAAAAAGTAAGTTAAGCTTCATCTTGTTTTGATACAGACAGAAGGTTGCAAATTTTTTGAATGGGTGGACCCACCTATGTGCCATCGTTGAACGATGATAATTCCGGGATTGGTTAGAAGACTCAATTCAAAAGAGGAAGAGGTTGTAAAGTTGAAGGCTAAAAATAAAAGGCTCCTCATAGTTGGTGTGGGGCTAGTGTTTTTGCTCATAGTCTTTCTCATGTTAAAGATGTGAGAAGTGAAGATGATGTAACATTTCAAATGCTTTATTCTTAAAACATGAATCCAAAAAGCTTTAAACTTCATTCAAAATGCTCCTGTTGCAACCAAGAAGAAATAATTTTTTTAACTCTAGCTAAGGGTCAACATTGAGTCAGCAAATGAGTTCCAAATAATATACCATGTGGCAGGTGATGTGTCTTTTCCGGCGAAATTGGCACGTTCCGGCATAGAAGGACCAAAATTGCACCAACTTATTAGTTACGGGATGTAATCTGCAAGTTAATAAGGTTACAGGACCAATATCGGGTATAGCTATAAGTTACAGGACTAACTCGAATCATTCCTATCTCACCCATGTCCATCCCTATCGAGTGTAATTTTGTTCACTCCTGTAAGGAGGGTGAACATCACCCCATGGAAGTGTATATGGTACAGCCGTACACCGTACAGCCGGTGACAAATTTGTAATTTTGGTGAAAATCACGGATTTAATTCTCTTAAATGAACATTAAATCAATTTTGATGAGCATCAAGCCTGTTCTTTTGAGTATTAGGAGCCTAACAGTGAACATTAGTGATATCTGCTTCATTCCTTATATAACACATTCCGTTTATTATTTTTTTCGTTTATTAAAGTCTTAAATTATGTCTGTAATCAATTTCATTTATTTTCAATATGTGAATCTAATGGATTATGATATGTTTAACATGTGCAACCTTTTAAAATCAGCATAAAACAGTACCAAATGGCCATACATAACTTATAAAATGAGTATCAAAATATTAAAAAACTCATTCGTGTGTGTTCATTCATTTTGGGTGTAATACTCTTCGAGTGTAACATAAAACTCATTTTGAAATATGCATGAATATGACATTTTAAAATGAGTATTCTACTAATATCAAATGAGTGTATACATAAATTAAAAAATGAGCATTCAAAAAACTCATTTGAAATGTCTATTATGCTCATAATTTCATTTGTTATGCTCATATCTGAAGAATTACGTGCAACTTAGATTTCTCTAACCTGCGTCCAACCAGTAACCAAACTCACTCATCTCCAATGCTAAAATGTGAACGGTGCATACATGGCATGAGAGATAACCAATTAAAAAATAATAAATAGAATATCTCTCTCTTTATTTGAAGGATCTTGTATCATTTTGGTAAGTTTTTCTTCACAATGTCAAGCACAATGTCTAGATGTAGACATTGTGCTTGACATTGCAGAGGAAAACTTACCAAAAACACATAAAACCGTGGAAAGAATGAGAGAGAAATGTCATAAATTCAACTTTTCATGTCTATCTCTCTTATTCCACATGTGCACTATACACATTGTAGCATTGGAGATGCTCTAAAGAACCCTTTAGAGGAATTAATGACATGTGGCAACATGCTTAGTATGAAACAATGACATGTGGCAACACAATAAATTAAAGAAAAAGCTATTCAACTTCCAAAACTTTACTCTTGTGTATTCCAATATTATAGAAAATTTGTTCTATATAAAATTAGGTGAAATTTTAGGTAAAATTTTGCACTCGCCGGTATTACAAAATCAAAATACTCAAAAATAAAAAATAATTGACAGTTTTTAGCCACTATTAAACAAAAATATTACTCTCTATTTCTTTTCCCATAAACTCTTGGAGATTCTTCCTTAGTTGGGGTTATTATAAATTGTTTCTTATTTCTTTCCAAAATATGATAATTTTTACGTCCTTCGTCTCATTAGTTTTCTCCGACATTTCCTTTTTTTCGTTCACTAAGTTTGTGTAGCTCTAAATATTATAATGCATGTGTAGTTCTAAATCATTCTTACATTATTGTCCCTGCCTTTTCATTTCAACATTAGCTATATAAAGTCTTTTTTAATAGATGCACATGTCTAGAAGGATTGCTCCTTAGAGAACGGCGTTTCTTAGGGATGAGGGCGGCGCAGGGGTTCCTCCTGGTCGATGATTTTCTTCATCGGATCGGTGATTACTTTTGGGAGAGACGTCCGAGGTTCATCGAACGGCGAGGGGGAGTCGATTATCATCCTTTCCTTAGATGGCAGGGGAAGCACCCTTATCTGCGAACAGGATGCAGATGGGAGCACGATTTTGGCAACCTGGAGCGGTGGTGTCCATCGCGGAATCGACGGCCACTCCACAGAGACAGGCGGCCTAAATCGATTGAAGCTAGCGACGAGAGCAGGCGAATAGTTTTTTGACCTAGGCCAACAGATCGGAGAAGGCAATTTTTTCACAGGGGCTCGGCTGACTCTCAGGGTAGGAGACAAGTTCAACTTAGGCGTCCAGTTGAGATTGATTTTGCAAATGTTTCCATTTTAAAATTATTGATTACAAGGCTGTTCGCATAACTGAAACCAAGAATGGATTGTCATCTGCTATAGATCTTGATATTGATAGGGTTAATTGGTTGAAGGATTCCATACCCAAGATCGTTCACGGTAATAGATTTGGTGCTAGGTTGGAGTTGAATAAATCTTTTATTATTTTGTACGATGCTAATATCTTTGGAGGATTTATTCGAATTATTGACAAGGGACGTGATTCTCTATTTATTCCCGAGGGACGAAATGGAGAGGGGATTTCGCGTTTTCTTACAGGGATTAGAAAAGCAATCACTTCGTTGAGCTCTAGTTCCACAGAACAGTATTCAGGTGAGCTTTGTTTGGGTATCAGGGGTCCCAATGTTGATTCGGATTTTCTGCCTTTGGATAGGGACTATTCCTATGTAACTGAGACTTCCATTTCGGGTAGATTACTTCAAGGTGATATTGAGCATTTTGATAATTCTTTGGACTTGGTTTCTATTGATGGTTTTCACAACCTTGAGCAACTTCCTGAATCTGATGACTTTGCAAAGCTCAATGATTTCATTCAGACTACTTTAACAAATGGGGTGGAATCACTTTCCCGTTTTTTGCTTAATGAATTTCAGAGTCTTCTTATTTCCGCTTTGGGAAAGGGACTCAATGAGGATGCAAATACTTCTAAAACGGGGACTTGCTCAGAGCGAGAGGATCATAACAATATGGGACTTTTAGATTCAAGCGATGGAATTAGAGGTAGACAAAATCATCCGGGATGGAATGATGCAAATGTTATTACCATGGGCAACCTTTTTGAAGACTTTGAGGGAGTTTATGGTGGTTCAGAATCTATATTTTCGGGTGATGAATTTCTTGGTCATGCATCGGAGAATGAGAAGAGAACTCCCATCTCGACCGTGGGGGGCCTTTGGGACTCAGATACCAATGAGGTTATTTGTAAAAAGGCTCTGTTGGTCACGCCAGAAAATTGTCTACCCACTCAAAATTTAAGCACCCAAAAAAGATTAAACAGAAAGAAGAATCAACGGTCTCATCTTATGAGAACTAGATCTCAATCAAGAACAGAGCTATGAAGATCTGACTAAGGGATTAAGAGCATTTTGAGAGGGATCATGAAATACTTTGGGTTGGGTATTTTAGCTTAGATCCTTTTTTTATTTTATTTCTGTTTGTTTTCTTTGTACCTTCTGTTTTTTGTTTTAATAAAATCTTTTATTTGCAAAAAAAAAAAAAGATACACATGTCTCGATCTTGAGGGGACAAATGTGATATTACTTATCTATTTTAATTCACAAGGTCTACCAAATCAATGTCTAATTGTAGATTCATTTTTTGTCTCATATTTATTTATACTTCGCAATTTATGTTCAGGTTGATAAATGGGTTAGCACTCCCCAATCTTACTCAACCCGTGGTAGATTATATTTTTCATAGCTTGGATCGTCTAACTGCCTAACGGTCTCAAACGATGAGAAAGATCTCAAACGATGTACATTATTTTTAATGGAGGTTGAAATAATTCAGACTTTAAATGAACATGAAAAGTTGAATTGATTTACAAAATGTCACTGCATTATTTTATTTATGATAGCGCATAATCCTATTTCAAATAATGCACAATTTTCAAATCTAGATCATTCTAATTCTCTTTTACACGTTAAGATGTCTTCTCATTTGAACTCAATCTTATATATATATATATATATAATTTACAATCTTCAAATCTAACGTTCCGTTTCATGTATAGAAATAATGCTAGAGTAATTTATTTGAATAATTATTATATATAGAAAAAATGGTTCCACAAGGATTGTAAATTAATAAGTATATTTGAAAACTTTTTTATTGGTAAAGCATCAACATTGAAGACAATGAAAGTCGGACGTTTATATTTTGGTTTACTCATAACTTGCATGGGTCAGCTCGCTTATTAACCCGTAACCCGTGCAAATTGCACCACGAAACTGGTGAGTTCATCGGATTAAAGAATGACAACTCTTATCCACCGTGAAATGAGATGAAATGGGCAAGCCATATGGACTTCGACTCGATCGTTTTGACAGCTATATCCGTATATAGTCGATTGAATTTGCTTATAAACTCCGATTGACGAATTTACATCAAATTAAACTCCACACATATTTTCCCATGCGGTGCACGGGTACTCATACTAGTATTTTATCAAATACGCAACAATTTGATTTGATCGAAATGATTTGATTTAAAGTTTTAGAGCCCATTTGATAATTATGTTTTTCGGTATATTAGGCTAATCAGTAAAGTCAATATTTTCACCAACCCATAACTTTTAATTTCGTGTGTTGTATTGTGTATAATAAGAAAAAGTAGGGTTGAAGTTAATTTTTCTGATTGTATTGGCTGAAGTCACGGTATGGTAGAGGATCATTGTAACTATTTTTTCATATATTTTTCCTTTATTTTATTACTAAAATATATTTTAAATATATATTTTTCATAAATAAGTAGCATCGTCGAATCCAGCCAATTCAACCGGAGCTTCATAAATTAATTTCAACAGAATCAGCTGATTCAGTAGATTTTGGGATTACCAAACGGACTCTTAGTATATTATTTAAAATATAACATCGAATCTAATTTGTATATTTTTGTGCGTGGTTGGATATTAATTTCTAGCTAGTTTAATTTGATATGATTTAACTTGAGTACATAAACCTCCTAAATAAGGGCTTATTTGACCTTTTTTGGTTAGTACATGGGCCTATTTGCACCTTTTCCCTTATATCTTTCCAATTTTGACCAGAGAGTCGATGAAAGTTAAGCTCGCCAAATACTATGTATATAATATAACTGTAATAAAAACCAACAGCTTTTCAATGATCCAAAAAGACCGAAAGTATGTAGGTAATATAATGTAGCCATGCCTACAAGACTATATATACAAAGATTGTATATATGCTTAGCATTCATAACGTGACCGGCGGGCGTAGCTCAACTGGTAGCGAGAGAGTGTCACAAGGGTTAGGTCCCGGGTTCGACTTCTGGCAACTGCGATGAGAGGGTACTCAATAGAGGCCTCTGCAAGTACTGGGAACGGAGTCTCACTCTCTATCTGCCAGATTGTGATTATAGTCCAATTTACATCTCGATCATCATGCCGTCCGAACGGTGTTGGGAGCCCTCAGGAATGAGGTGTCATCTCTTTTTGATAACCTTTGTGAGACAAAATGTAATTATAAAACTGTATTCTTAATCATCATTGCGTATTTTCATTCAAAAAAATCATCATACTAGCTAATTGAGTTATAGTTTAACCTAATTAATGACGAGCATGGACAAATATAATCTAATCATTATTTTTAGGTAAATTAAATAGTTCGTTGGAATTAAGATTAATCATAATAGCATTCTATTATTTCTAGGGATGTTTTTACTTGGATTGCTTTCAGACCAGACCAGATCAGATCACATAAAACCAGACTTGGATAGTTATAAAATACACATACACCAGACGTTTATAAGACCATATACCATATCAGTTCAGACCAGACAGACTAAAAAATTTCAGTCCAAATAAAAACTTCCTAAATCATTTATAACATATATTTGTTCAACATAATTTTTAACCCTGCTTGGGATGATAATCGAATGTGCCCCTTTAATTTGCTTTGGTCTTTAAATATTAAAAGTAATACGGAGTATCATGATGTACCATATAATAATGCACTTCAATAATTTTTTATGCGGGTTGGAATCGGTTTTATATAACTTATATCAACCTAATTTGTGTCATGTAGGGTTGTTTTAGTTAAGGTCACTACTAGAAAAATGTCTTACAGTGACACCAAATTAGTGTCACTGAAAGTTTCTGTGACACTAAAAAAGTGTCAATGAAAGTGGGGTTTAGTGACACTTTTTAAGTGTCACTACAAGTGTCACAAAATTGTGACACTATGGTATCACCAATTAGTGATACATAGGTGACATAACTATTCGGCGACACTTTTACATCATATATTCTAGTGACACCGCAGTATCACATAATTCTATTTTTCATTCAAACAATACAATACTTTAGTGACACTTTGGTATCACTTTGTTTTGCATTGTTTCCGCATTCGAAACCAATTATAATTTAGAAAATCCATTTCAATTATATTTTAAAATTTTCAATACAGTATTAATTAACTAATCCCATAAACAATAATAAAGTCAATAAATCTCAAAACATAGATTGAACACGTAAAGCATAATATTCATTTCAAACTCCAAGCTACATTGTAGTTGAACTTTGCATTCTCGGTATGCAAAACCAGATTTACTCTGCTGAACAAAACATGACAACAAATCCAACAAGATACGCTGCCATGCAAATACAATTTTCTATTAAACAAAACATGCGAACTTTTACACCTCGCTTCATCAGGCCTTCACATTTCTTGTTATTCGTAGATATCACATTTTCGTTTGCACCCTTGCACAGAATGAAGCCATTGTTCTTATACTATCAACTGCATTGTTTGCAACGTCACTTGCTTCTTCGTACTTCACCTGCAAAGTGTAAACTACATTTTAATGAATAACATATTGGAAAAATAGGAGAAAGCTAGCAGTATTTGTTATTTGTTATGAAGTTGTAGATCAGAGCAGTATCCAGTTTTTTATGCAGTTTAGAAAGTATATAAAATGGTGTTTGAGAAGTATGGCAACAACAAAAAAAATCCTTGTAATGATATGTTAAGAAGGAGCATATAATGTAAATAAAGGTATATGGAATCTACCTGTAATGAATGTGGGGACCTATAGTTGCATCCTCATTACTTATGTTCAACTCCTATTCATTCAAAAAAGCACCTGCTTTGAAAAAATGTTAACAGTAAGGAAAAATGAAGTTTTAGTTGAATTCAATTTCATTCCAAAATGCTGTAAATAGTGTTTTTGTTATTAATAGTGTTTTTCTCATCCGTAAACAATTCCTTGGCTGGCCTTTCTTCTTATTAATTGTGTTTTTCTCATCTGAAATAATAGATTTAGAGCCTCCAATAGCTGCATATAGAAGCAAACATCAAAATCAGTGTGCGTACTCCTTTCGTTCCAAAATAGGGGTTGTTTTTATAACATGGCTTATTTTATAAAAACAAGTTAAGCCATGTTAAACCAACAAATAAACTGAAAAATATAAGTAAATCTAATTACTTTTAAGCGTTGCAACGCAACTTCCTAAAAAATTGTATCTTGGTGAAACATTACTCATTTTCTGAAAGGTGGTAGTACATATAAGAAAAAGAAATAGTGGCATACAGTTCAAGTATGTTAGTGCAATGACAAAGAAAACATTGCACAGAACTCAGAAGCCTAAGAGGGCAATGATGCATATCCAATACATATAGTCATCTAAATAAGAAATACTTTCCCCTTGAGATATTTATGTTCTGAAAAAGAAAATAAGAAAATCAACCACTCATTTTTATGTGGAGTACACACTAAATGGCAACTTTCAGAATCTGCAGCAGCAGTTGAGAAACTAGACCATTCAAAATAAGAAAATTTAATTCATTTTATTTTTAACTAGGTGAAGTGGTGAACTCTCTTATAGTAATACTCAGAAAACTAATAATAATTTAAAAAAAATGATGAATGTCATTCTCTGTCTAACACTAATTAGATATATAAATTCAATTCCTTTCAAGGATGATATTAAGAAACATTGGTACACAGTGATTACCTTACATGAAACATCTGATTTATAATAGTGCAACTGACCAATTCATACCTGCTCATTGCTGAAACGTCCAAGTGTACTATGTCCTAAAGAAGCACAGAAGGCAGTCCGACTTCTAACCTAGATCATATTTTCATCAAGTGTTTGATATGCTGCAACAGAACATAGCACCTAGAACTATATTGACACTTCTCGTATAAATTAGAAAGACTTTTATTCCAATTCATGAAAAGTGTAAGAGACTTTTGTGGTTAAAACAAAAACAGTTACTAAGTTTCATATTCTACTGAATTTCAAATAAAAAAGAGGTGCTAAGTTGTATTCCAATCTCGTGTGCTTAATCTCAACTCTCCAGTACTCAATGCCGATTGTCATTTTGAAATGATACAGAGCAGCTATGCATGGTAACCTCCAAGTTAGTATGGTTTCTACTTTCTAATTAAGTTGTAACCAGAATTAGAGTTTGCACCATTGTTGTTATTTCTGCTGTCAGTTCATCTTAGTAACAAGATGAAAAAACAAAGATTACAATCCCCATGTTATTGTTCATAAGACCAAATAAATAAAACTAGCCTAGTAGGATTGGGATCAGTATCATCTAACAC